CCAAAGGAAAAAAATTCGCGCGCGCCAAGCCAAAGAATGATGGCGATACAAGAAAAGAGAAAATAGCTTTGTTTCACTCACCCCTTTTACTGCTTTGGTTGCAGCTGCAGATCTAACGGCGAATAACCGAACGACGCACGCATACACACACACAAGCAAAAAAGAAGAAAAAAGCAAGCCTTTCAATTTTGCAGGTTATGTACACTTTTACACACTTTTTTCGCAATTGTTGCAACAAATTTGACTAGCCAGAGTGACGCGCACTGATCTTGGCTGCGAATTACGAATTGTTTTACGGTTTAACTACAAGAAAACACGACAGCGGCCCGGTGTGCGCTTTAGTTGTGCTCCAGGGGTGCTTCATGTCTTCCCCCCTCACTTCACACACACTAACACTTTTCCCGGCCGGTGCCCGCTGTTTATCCGCACTTCTGGCACTTGCCAATGTTTTCCCGACGTAGGTTTTCCGCGTTTTCACTTTTTTCCGGATCTCCTGGCGTGGCATCGTTGCCGTTTTCGTGTTTTTTCTGCTGCTGGGTTTTTTCCATCCCGCTTCGCCCGATGGCGCGGGAGTAACTGACTTCCAATTGTCGCCGTGAGAGGATGCTAAGTGGTACTGGAAGGCGTCGATATTTTGGCCTGTGGGGGAGAGAGAGAGGATTCGGCGATATTGTCAATCTCAGCTGGACACTTCCAGAACTCTCTCTCTGCATTCACTTGGACAGGAAGAGCGCTGGCAAATTGAGATGGCTAATTGGGTGAAATAAATAGTAATTAAATTGTATTTAAATAGTAAATTAATGTAATACCCATAATAAATAAATATATAATAAATTAAAAACAAATAAATATGAAAGTATGTTGAAATAAATCCAAATTACAATTATTTTCTTTTAATTTCCCGACCGTTTCTATGGCAGCTATATGATATAGTCGTCCGATTGTCATAAAATTAATATGGAAATTCTAGAATAATAAAACATGCTCATATCTTAAAGTAGATGGAAATAACTTGATAAACATTAGAGTAATAATTTTTTTCTAACAATTTTACGACTGTTCGTATGGCAGCTATATTATATAGTCTTTCGATCTTTCCCGTACAAACTTATAATAGTAATGAGCATGAAAATAAGACTATCTGCAAAACTTTCTATTAGATAGCTTTAAAACTAATTAATTAGAAACAAACAGACAAAAGGACATGGCTCGAACGATTCGACTGCTGATGCGGATCAAGAATATATATATGTAGGTATGAAAATTATTTCTCCACTTTATTACAAACTTCAGTTTAAAATTATAATACCCTGCAAAGGATATAATCATATATAAATATATACAATAATCCCAATGGATTATTGGCTTCACTTTTGTTTAATATATTTTGCCATTACCCATTCGACCCGTTGTCACTCAATCTCATTCGGGATTTAAGTGATCTTTTCTTTTATTTATTTTATTTCTTCTCCCTCTCATTTTACACATTTTTTTTTTTTTTGCCTGAAACCTTTACGCAATGGGCCAGATGCCACACCTGGCCAAGTGGCCAAGTGATTACTTGTAGGCCGACTTCAAGTAGGCCTTAAAAAACTTTCACCGAATTTCCGAAGCGTCGTTGCGTTGACAAGCTCTTGGAATTCATGGATCAAAAAAATATACAAAAATAAATACATAAATGAAATTAAAGAAATAAATAAAAGGTAATACATGGAGTGCAAACCGTCGACAATTTCGCTCGTTCGAAGGTCAACAGTCGCGAAACTTCTCCCCCAAATGCGAATGCTGAAAAACCGAATATATATATATATATATAAACCGATATACACCGTTTCGAAATTTAGCCAGATAAACAGCATAATTAATATACAATACCGAAACCCGTTTCATTTGCGGGGCCCCGTTAAGTAAACGGCTTGCCGACAATTGTATAATTTTGGGGCACAAAACAAAAAAAAGGGCGTGTGCGTGGCTTGCATTGCGCAAATCCGCCTTTGGCTCCGAGCTGTCCCAGCTCCAAGTTACCCAAGTTAACCAGCTGACATGTCTTTGTCCATTGCCTCTGCCTGTTGCCTTCACAATTACCCAAAACGAAAATAAAATCAATCGAAATCTGGTCAAGGTCGCTGCCAGCCCCCACTGCGTATACTTGATGATGATGATGATGATGTCGATGGCATAAAAGGGGGCCCAGACACCGTTAAGCCCTAAGCTCTAAGCCCCAGGCTGAGCAGCTCAATTAACTTCAATTCGATTGTGGTTAAAAGTTACCTGAAGGGGGTGATGTCCACACTAGGCAGGACTCTGATCCAGACGTCCAAATGGCGGAGGAAGGTCCTTTCACTCGTCCTCCTCTCATCTCTCATCACCAAAAGTGGCACGTGAAACGAAATTTATTGTTAAATGGCTAGTACATTGAATAGCTATGGGTGCATTTGATTTTATATACTTTTTTAAGAAGAAATCAAGTCAGGACACGTTGAAAGGATCTCCATTAAGTGAGGTTAGGTTTAAAGTTAAGGTTATTTCAAGGAAATAAATAAAATTTAACAACTTTAACTTTAAGAGAGCTCAGTTTAAGTCTGAAACATATTCATTCCAGTCATTTATATGGATTTTCTCTACAAGATTTCGAAATTTAATTCCCGCTTCGTGTTCCGGATGCGGTTGCATAATCACAATCAGGGCCAGCTCTTTCATTCCCTGCTCGTAATTCAATTTGTGGACCCAGCACGTGTTGTGGAGCTGTCATCGAGAGGGCGGAAAGAGGGATTACATCTCCATGTCAAAGGCGGGACAAAGTTCACAGATTTTAAATGGTTTTTTCCATGAAACTCACTGCTCTTCTATTCTCCTCTTACTTTATCATTTCCCATTTACTATTAGCTGTAATGTTTTAATTGCATTTTAAGATTTTAAAAAAGTACTTAGTAATAAAAATTCTCAACAAGTGCTGCTCGTACCTCGTTTTCCGATTAAATCCTCTTATGCTGGAGCAATCCCTATGGAGTGCAGGCTCCATTGAATGGAATACTCAATAACTTCCACAACTGGCAGTCATTTGCGATTTACAGCACCACTTGGCAGACAATAAATACTTTATAAATATCCCTGGCAAGAGGTTGTTTATTAGAAATTTACTTGGTAAATGTGCCGCCTGCAGGACGTGTGATCTTCCTATATTCATACGTGACCCCTTTTTGAATACAGAGATCTCCCCCTTGGCTTTCTCCCCCTTCATTACGTGTAATGGCTGCGGTAATTGTCACGTAGCCCCGGCAACGTAACAAAAGACACTTGATTCTGTCTGTAATTGTGTATCCTTGTGATGGGAATGGATACACATGTGTTGTGAGGATAACAGGATAACTGCTATTGCACCTTGCACACTACCACACCCCATCCTAGGCTTATGCTCCAACGGAATAAGCAATTAGACATCGGTAACCTGTTACCAAGCCTTCGCGGCCTTCGTGAGTGATTGGTCGAGGAACCGCAAAGGGAAGCACCTGCCGAGGGATTCGTATTTGGTTGGGGTTTCATCCAAAATCACAGTCCATCAATCAGGGGGTTCCCCTGGCCATGGCATGGACCACCTCGTGCAATTCATTTGGTGTGCTCAAAGTGGGAATTGATTTATACCCGGCCACAAGACGAGGCGCGCTGTGTTCATTCACATCGATCCGTTACGGTGTCCGGCCCCAGGATGCACCTAGAGAAAAATGCTGTGTAAAGGATATATATATTCTTAATTAAAATACTACAAGAACTTATGATTAAGAAGATAATTTTCTATTTATCAAAAGATTTTCTTGGATATTTCTTTTTTTTGGCTGCTCCTTCTGAACCCCTTTTCCGGCTCAGTGTATCATTATTGTTATTTATGGAACCAGGCTTCCATGAGCAAGAGGAGTAGCCTTTCCTTTGAGCAGGACTTCCTTGTCTCTGCCTCTCGGCGACTGACAGCTCAATGCTGAAACTGCTGATTCCTGGGCTGACTGAATCCTGCCAGAATCCTGGCTGACTGACTTCTGACATCCCCACCGAGACGAGCCTTTCCCTGAGCAGCTTTCAGTGAAATTTATGCCCAGGCCATTAGCTAGAAATGGCCAGCGATTTGCATTGCCTGTTCCTAGTTAATCCCGGAACTGAAGCCAAGCTGGCAGGCAATCAATTAGACACTCTGGACCGGGATTCCCCTTCGTGAATGTGAAGAGCAGCAGATGCAGCCGGAGCCCAAAAGTATACCATACAAGAAACAAGAAACATTCAAACTTCATTTTATTTTCGCTTCGATTGCACTTTTATATTTACATAAAAACATCAAGATTTAGGCATATACATATACATATATTTATTTATATATATATAAATGTATTCGAATAATGGCAAATTGCCAAGTTCGTTGAAGTGAAATGGGAGCTAAGATGAAACACTTTTTGCCGGCTGTGGCTGTTTTAATAGTATTTATTTGGATTTACATTTGCACTTTCTGCTGCTTTCTACTTAAAATTGGATTTTCAACTGCCGTCCTCTCACACAGAACTATGTATATATATATAAATATATATATTTTATTTGTGAACAACCTAAGTAAGTATTTTCGAGTTGAAATCGGAAACGAAGTCTCCGGCTACCCTGTAAAATGCGACCCTGGATTCGTTTGAAACCTAACGCTAAGCAAGAGTCCAGTTTAATGGTTTTCTCAACGTCCTGTTAAAATTAAACAGGAGGTTAAGCTTTAAATAGAAAAAGTATAAGAGTTCAAGAGTTTATTTTAACTTCTGCTAATTAATATCCCCACTTCTCACAATTACTTTCTCTCTTTAACTGCCAACTTCTGGTTAATATTAACCGGACATTGAGAAAACCACCCCTTAAATGTGTATTTAGTGTAAACGAAGAAACGCGAGGTTAAATTCTAGTAACTCACATCAAGTAACTTTCCTTAGCGCAATTCTATAACGGACACATATGTTACGTAGTTTAAAAACATTAATTGCTAGGCTTAACTTTCCCCGGATTCTGCTACTTATCCTGCTACTCCTGCTCCTCCTGCTCCTTCTATACCTCTTCCTACCACATCCACACACATTCAGAACGCGGCAGAATCATCGTTGACAACCACACAGTTTCTATTGCAGTTAGATTGCATCATCACAAATGAGAGTCACCAAACTAAAGTGACTCCGTCTCCGCCATTTGAGCTCCGGGCGCCTGCCTCCGCCGGCTGCCTCAGAGCCGTGGACTCTCCAGGATCGTATGGCTGGACATGACCGAATTGGCCAAAGCAATTGAGTTCCCAGCCACCGAAAGATTCGTTTCATTCTTGGACCGTCGCCTCCAAAAACAGCAAGGAGCACAGAGCCGTTCACATATCCTCATGCCCTTGAAGGTGTCCACAAAGGCACGCCGGAAGCTGGCATTCATAAAGCAATACGTAATCGGGTTACAGCAGCTGGAGGAGTAGGCCAACAGTTGCAGGAAACTGATGGATGTGTAGCCCACATACTCATATACCGCAGGACCGAGGAGCATGGTCATCGTATTGATCACATACAGCGGTGTCCAGCAGATGAAGAACTCCAGGACCAGGACGAAAAGCATCTTTACCACACGCTTCTTGCTCTCCAGACTCTTGCTTTCATTGGATCTGCGAGGCACAATGCTGGGGATAAGGATTTTAGTATATATTTTAAGATTTTGTTTAGTCTTCATTAGCTTTATATTCAAAACTCACCTTCGCAGACCCGCCTCTGTAATACGAAGACTGGGCTGGGACAGGGACTTGCGACGGGACTCGTTGTCGCTGATGTAACCCTGATGCTGCTGCTGATGTTGCTGCTGTTGATGTTGCTGCTGCTGATGGTGTTGCATCTGGTGTCGCATCCTCTGGGCCCTGCTGCAGCAATCCCCGCCTGGGACTGCACTTGACCCACCGTTCACCTGCTGTTGCTGCTGCTGTTGTTGTCGCAGGGACTTGACTGAGGCACTCCTCATGCAGTACAGGTGTCGCCGCCCCTCGCAAGGTGCACCTCCCAGCAGCCGTCGCTTGCTGCCGCCATGAGCATAGTCAGCTGTGTTGGGAAAACAGGTTATAGCTTAATAAATATATAAGTTACATTTAAATTAATTACAGTTTATAGATTACTTTGTATAAATAAAGTTGATTTACTATAGTTTTTTATTGAATTTATCAAGATATTTAGGGAAATTGTTGTTGATCTTATGAATATCTTGATATCTAAGCACTCTGTTTGCTTCTCCGTGTTTTTATTTTGAGTAATTCAATCAGTTGTGAAGCCATTATACATTGAAATAACCTAAATCACGAGTCAATTTACACGAATTAAGTTCCCTATAATCAGCATTATAATGATTTATAGGTACTATCAGGCTTGAGGAGCTTACAGTATTTTATACAGGTTTAAGGCAAAATAAATATTAAAAGAAAGGACACAAACTTCGAGAAGCAGAAATATTAAATATTCCAATTTTATTAATCGATAATTATCGATATTTTAATATGACAATTTCCCACACAAATCAAAGCTTACAAATCTCATAACTAAGCCAAAAGAGCATTAATTTTGATTCGGAAAACTGTTCTTTGCTAGTTTTAAATAGGGTAATAAAACTGCGTACCTAAATTGAAATTTTAAAATTATTAAAATTTTTGTAAATTTTTGTCCAAATTTTTAAATTTTTTGAAAAAAAAATTTCAAAATTTTTTAGTCTTTCTTTACGCCTAGAAAAATTCCCCTGTTGATGCTGATCAAGAATATATATACTTTATAGGGTCGGAAATGATTCCTTCACTGCGTTTTAAGCTTCTGACTAAAATTATAATACCTTGCAATGGTATAAAATAAAAGCACTGAAAGTCGATAATATTTAATAACTAACAAGTGAGTTTAAATTTATATAGGGTATCATTGCCTGTTTAGCTTATTTTCTTCCCTCTAATCAACTCGAATCAATTTGAAACTTGAAGATGTATGTATATATAGGTATATTTAAGTATATATGCAACCCTTGACATGCTAATGAAGCCACAAATCATATATAGCATGCGGTTAATAAACCGGAATTGGTTGCAACACGCAATCCCTGAGAAGTCACGATATATGGACACCACAGAGCTGTCTATGGGCTGCATTTCCAACTGGACAACCATCGGAAATGCTGCCAATGTTTTTATTACCTCTAATTGGAGGTCTAATCCTTCTCCTCCTACTCAAGGATTTATTGTTGCGTGGAAGCCACTGGCAACGTTTGGGAGTTCAGGGACCCAGAGGCTGGCCACTGGTGGGAAACATGGTACAGTTCGCTCTGGGTCGTCGTTCCTATGGAGAAGTTTATAGCAAACTCTACAGGTGAGTAAGATATAAGTTCCTTCTACAATATAACGACTCCTTATCCTTCAGTCAGCATCCCGCCCAGCCTTATGTGGGATTCTATCGCTTGTTCAATGAACCTGCTTTGCTGATTCGTGACCAGGAATTGCTAACTCAAATCCTTGTAGGCAACCACTTTGCCAGTTGTGCGGATAATGCTGTTTATGTGGATCATCATCATCGCGATATCCTGGCCAGCTTTGATCCCTTTCTGGCTTGCGGTGATCGCTGGCGACTGCTGCGCTCGGACCTGGTGCCTCTATTCACACCCAGTCGCCTGCGTCAGTTGTTGCCACATGTGAGCAATGCTTGCAGGATCCTTAAGGAGCAGCTGCCTCGGGAGCCTTTCGAGGCCAAGGAGTGGGCCACACGCTATACACTCCAAGTGGTGGCTTCTGCGGTCTTTGGAGTGGATGCAAACTGTCTCCAGCAGAGTGAGGAGAGTGGGAAAAATCCTTGGCTACAGTTGCTGGCGCCGCTATTTCAGCCAAGTTCCTGGAGCCTGCTGGGAACAGTGTCCTTGCTGCACTCGCCATTACTGGGAAGAGTCCTCAGCTTTCGGTGGGTGGTTTGTCTCCCACACCTTTCTTGATTTTTTCTATATATAAAGCTTAATATTTTAAAAGCATTTGTGGTAAGCAAGTTATACATTTATCCTTAAGTCCATGTCTAGCTGCCTTGATTGAACAAATTAAATTAAAAACTTTATCTTAAACTCTGATCCTTCTTTCAGCTATGTCCCCCTGGCTGTGCAGCACTGGCTCCTGACCTTGATGGACTCTCGAAGTGAGAGGGATAACCTGCTCCATTGGTTAGAGACGGAGGGCAGGCGCAGCTTGGATAAGATGGAGCTGGCGGGGCATGCCACCACTTTGGTGCTGGAGGGTTATGAGACCTCGGCTTTGCTCCTGGCATGTGCACTGTACGAATTGGCCAGGAATGTGGATATTCAGGAGAAACTGCACAAGGAACTGGATGAGCAAGAAGGTCAGTTGCTGGACAATGTGACTCTGGGGAAGCTTCGCTACACGGAGGCCGTGTTGATGGAGACACTGCGTCTGCATCCGGCAATGCAGGCTTTGCAGAAACGCTGCAATCAGTCTTTTAAGCTGCCTGGAGGAGGACCTAGGATCCAGGAGGGCATGGTAGTGGTGCTACCCGTCCAGGCCATACATATGTGGGTAATCTAGAGAGTTAAATATCATATATATCTGTATATATATCTTTCTCCTGTATCCCTCATATAACATTAATTATCTTTTTCTCTCCTTACCTAGAGAGTTAGATATCAATCTATCCATATTTATCTTTATCTCTGTATCTATCTCTCTATGACTTTCTCTCTTTACCTTTCTCTCTGAATCCCTCTCTGTACCTTTCTCTTTACTTCTATCTCTCTGTATCTCTCTCTGTATCTCTCTCTGTATCTCCCTCTGTGCCTTTCTCTCTGTATTTTTCTCCTGTATCTCTCATATAACATTATTTATCTTTATATTTCCTTACCTAGAGAGTAAGATATCAATCTATCCATATTTACCTTAATCTCTGTATCTATCTGTATCTATCTCTCTTTAACTTTCTCTCTGTACCTTTCTTTCTGTATCTCTCTCTGTATCTCACTCTGTATCTCCCTCTGTGCTTTCTTTCTATATCTTCCTCTATGTATCTTACTCCCTGAATATATGTATCCCCCATTCCAGGGACCCTGAACTTCATCCTGAGCCTGAGATCTTTCGTCCAGAGCGCTTTCTGGATCAGACTTCAATGGGCTGCCGTTTTTTGGGCTTTGGCGCCGGTCCTCGCATGTGTCCTGGCCAGCGTTTAGGCCTCCTACAGACAAAAGCTGCCCTGGTCACCTTACTGCAGGAGCATCGCGTTCTAAAACGACCTGGAACTGCCTTGGAGGTGTCTCCACTCACCTTCCTCACAGCCAGCAAAACTGGCATCTGGCTAAGCCTGGAGAGAAGGAATCTGCACAGAAAGACATCCCCTTAAAGGGTTTATAATATCATTATCTTTAAACCCATTTCCAACAGCAATAATACGGAATTCATTATCAGATCAGTCACCACACACACACACACTCTCTCTCTCTCTGGGGGGAAAAATTGTTGATCCCTGGCAGTGCTGAGCCGAGGATAATTCAAATTGCTATTAAACTTATAGTCGCCTGTGGAGGCGGGGGTGAGAGCTTCGGAATGTGCGAGTTTTTAGTGTGCGATATTATGAGCTTATAATAACATGGCATACATACATATATAATGTTCTTCTGGAACGCTCTATGATGATGATGATGGGGAAAGTGTGGAAATTGGAGCCGCTCTGAGCTAGCAATTTATGACGGGGGTAAATGTCAAGCGATGGCCGTAAACGAAGCGAAAAAGTTTTAAAATTTAATCAAATTTATTGTCGCACAGCATCGGCGACAGTATGTGAGAACGAGTCCTGTTTGCTAGCTGCCAGGATAACAGTGGGGGGGGGACAGGAATTTAACGAGCGCTTAAATGCCTGTCCCGTGCATAATTTACGGCACTTAAATTGACCTTTTTGTGGGGGTCGAGGTCGGTCACAGCCCTGGGTCGTTCCAGATACCGGATAGATAGTGTCCTATGCCCTGTGTACTGACCGCCAAACAGGAAGCGAAATGAGTCACATCACCGGAAATGGCGGCCTCTATGCTAATGCGCTTGTTTCCATTTACTCGCTGTCAGGATACGCTGCCTGCCGCGTTGGAGCATCTTTGATGGGATTTGATGTGGGAACCCTTTCATGCAAATTAGTCGCACTGGGACAGCCTCCTTTTTTTTGGGAGTTTAATTTGGAGCCCCGATGAGGAAGGGGGAGTGTATATGGGAGATGAAAGAATCCTGCAAAGCTACACACACAAGTGTGCCACAGGCTGAGTGTGATTTCCACGGGGATTCCATGAACCATGCCTTTGAGCTCCTTGCTCCATGTTCAGTGTCCTGTCTCCAAGCTCTGTGCTTCATGTTCTGCGCTTAGTGCTCCGTGCTCCTGGCTCCCAGCTCCATGTTCCCAGCTCCCAGTTCCCTGCTCTGCCCAGCTCTGAGTGAAGCATTTATCAAACACGTCACGTTGCCTGCAGGAATCCAAAAGCAAGGCGAATCTCTCTCTACCAATATCATTCGAATATATATACATATAATATGTATAGAGTATATGAGAGACCCGGGCTTTAAGGCCGCATTAAAGGCGAATTAGCCGCATCGATCCTGAGAGTCCTGTGAAGCCGCAGGCTGACTGAATTTCCGCGTCCATAATCTGCGGATTATTCACAGCATTCGGGCGCTGGCACTGAATCCAAAGCCAAAATCCCCACCATCTAGCCATGGGGGAGTGCTCTTAAAGCCGTCGATGCGAATGCAAATGAAAGTGAAAATGCTCACAGCTCCAACTGAATGTTGGTTCTGCCTCCTAGCGGGTCCTCTTGGCTCCTATTCCCGCCACCTCCTGCCTCCCATGGGAGGCCCCTCCTCCACCTCCTCCGCCTTGCTCCGAGCCTCTTCCATCGCTTTTCGTGCGTGGCAAACTTTGGCCCCTGCAAAATTGTGTGTGACGCAATTCATAGCCGGGGAAACCGACTGGAGAAGCGCAGCCATTGGACTAATCTCGAATGGCGTCCCCCGGGGAGCAGTCGCAACTAATAAAGCTCGCTCTGGTACCCTTTGACCCGTGCAGCGGGTTTAAATGTCAATTTTTTTTAGTTCAAATACAAAGTCTACTTTATGAAGGGGAGTAAGTTTTGACAGAAGGATAAAAGGATATTACTATTATAATAAATAAATATAAAAGAAATTTTTAAAATCAAAAAAAAGGTACAAAAAACCTTATTTAATCCGTTAAAAATTAACTTATTCCATAAAACACCTTTAGAAACTTTTCTAATACATTTCAAACCCCTAATTATGTTTCTTTCTTATAATGGTAATCTTTACTCTCATAATTAAACAAGTTTATTATTATTCAAACTCTTTTGCCACCCTGCAGCGTGAAATCCCCAACCAAAATCGTAACCCTTAAAGTTTATGTCATATTTTCCCAGGCACTCACCATAATAATACTGCGAATGGTGTTGCTGCTGCTGCTGTTGCTGTTGCTGTGCCACAATCGTGTCCAACGATTGGCAGTGACTTCCGTTCGCACGCCTCTGACTGCCCGGACCAATGGCACCACCCACCATTATGGCGGAACCGGAACCGGAACCGGAACCCGACCCGGGAGCCATATCCGGACCACTGCTGCCAAAATTCATGGCCCGCTCGTTGCGCATGCTTACATACAGAGTTCGGGTAATAAACAGGTAAGTGAAGCTAAGGGCCAGCAAAGGCAACACCAACAGAGCCAGATCCAGGAATAAGTTATAAGCCCGCTCATAGTTCAAGCTATCCGCCGGCCACTGCTCACGGCACTTGCGAAGACCTACGGATCAAAGGTTATTATTTAATTTAATTATAATCCCATCTCGTTAAAGACTCACCTGGTCGACTGGTGGGCATCAGTTGACTGAAAGCCGCTATGGGTGTCATGCAAATGAGGCTGCCCAGCCAAATGATGGCTATGATCTTATTGGCATGATTGATGGTCTGCCAAGTGCGTGATCTCAAAGGATGGCAGATGGCATAATAACGCTCACAGGAAATGGCCACCAAGGTCCAAGAAGAAACGGCCACAGAGGCAGCTAAGGGTGGAGAGAAAATAACGTTTTAAGAAACTCTTTAAGATCTATAAATATAACTTATAAATATGGCCAATCTTTACCCCCTCTCTGTTTTAGGCTTTCAATATTAATGGCTCCTACCTCCATTTGTTACCCTCATAAAGTTTTATATTCCCTGGTCCTCTCCATTGGCAATTGTCTCGCTTGGTCAACGACTTCATTATGGCCCTCAAGAGTGGTAAGGGAGAGAGTGTTGTTCTACCCGGAATAATTAAACTGCTAACTTGTTTTTTTTTGTGTTTTCGGGGGGACTGTGCCTCATTTGAGCCGCGATAAGGATGGCATTCAATCAGGAGTTGGCTCATAGAAATGGCAGCCACTCTGGAGGCCACTCCATGCCGTCGCCATTTGCCATTTCAATTGTAATCGCCATTTCAAAACCCAATCCTGAATGCCACGCCTTCGTCACCGCCATCAATGGGGCAATAAAAGCCAAAGCACACACACACACATAACTGAGCAGGAAAAGGGGTTTGGGTTTTGGGTTTTGGACTCCTGGCCACATGGACCACGGGACCACGGGACCACGAAGCTGATGAAAACAGGCAAAGCTCATTAACAAAATTAAATTTAGCTCTCTCCCGTATACGCAGCACCCTTTCCCTTTGCTATGTTTTGTTTGGGGTTATTCTTCTTGTTTATTTTTGTTTTGGCCGCTCTAAAAACCGACCACGGCTCAGTGATTCCCGGCAACCGATGAGTCCCAGAGTTCGTAACAAAAATGTAAATTTTATGGAAATGCTGTAAAGAGAAGCCGGACAGAACCGCGAACGTGCGCCAACAATGAAATGAATGAAAAACAAATACTCGTACTCGCACTCGTACTCAGACAAAAACACTCATACGGTTAGAAAAAATTGAGTTGTCATCGATTGGTGTTTATTTGGATTGGATATGGAGAAAAAAATGCAGTTTCTAAATGGTTTTTATACTTGGAGATATTAACTATAAGTCTGAGATCAAAAATTATAGTTTAATATGAAACCAGTAATCTTTTGCTTTAATTATTACAAAATAAAGACCTAAAAGCCTAAGTAGTTATAATATATATAATAATTATAATATATATAGTACATATATACATATGTCGGTGTGTATTAAATTCATACAAGTGTGCGTAATTGTTGGGCGTAGTTGCATTTGTAGAGGTTTCCTATTAAATCTGCAAGGTCATTCGAGAAATTTGCATCTAGAGTTGTAGCCCATTGCAGCGTAGAGTTGCTGTGGTTCGGAAGTGTTGTTGTAAATTTAATATAAAACTGACCGTTTCCACAAATATCCATAATCTCAAATGTAAACATACATATGTTATTTCCTATGAAATCTGCAAAGTCATTTGAGAAATTTGCATCTAGAGTTGTAGCCCATTGCAGAGTAGAGTTGCTGTGCCTCGGAAGTGTTGTTGTAAATTAAATATTAAGCAGACCGTTTCCACAAATATCCATAATCTCAAATGTAAAAGTATGTTACTTCCTATGAAATCTGCAAAGTCATGCGAGAAATGCTCCATTCCGAGTGTGACCTTAAAAGGCAACTGTTAAATTTTACAGAATCTCAGGTGCATTGCTTTTTAAAACTTCTAGTTCCTTCTTCTGGTGAAAAATTTTCATTATCGTCTTTGTAGCCTAAGTGAAAACATAAATTTTCGAGTTCTGTGAATATTTCTGGTCGAACATAAACTGAACTTGAGAAAAGGAATCAGAAGAAGCCGCTTTCACCACAGGTAATGAAATATAAACCAAATACCACTCACACACATCCCTGCAAACCAAAAGTTTTCAGAATTTAGTAGAGAGAAAAGAAAAGGAATCAAGATGAACAGGATCTATTATTCGCCGAAATACTACGACGACACCTACGAGTACCGACATGTGGTGCTCCCCAGGGAGATGGTTTACATGGTGCCCAGGACCCGTCTGATGTCCGAGTACGAGTGGCGTTCGCTTGGTGTGCAGCAATCACCTGGATGGGTTCACTACATGATCCACGATCCAGAGCCGCATATCCTTCTCTTCCGCCGACCCAAAACTGATCAGTAAATGCATAGAAGGAGGATCTACGAGCTGTAACAAATGAAGGAGATATATACACCTATAACTACACCAACACTTACACCAACAGGGTGCTGGTGTAATCCTGCAACCCGCAGGCCCTTCCCAGGGCGGCTTTGATGTGGTGGTGCAAGAACCAAACTTACTACAAGACTGCCGCAGATGCTTAACTAACTATACCTATACCTGAAGATATAGCTTTAAGTAAAGCCATGAACATATTAGGAGGGAGGAGCAAATACCTGCGCTGAAGACTCCTCTTTCTCCTCGAAACGGCAGAACTTGTACACTTTCACCAAAACTTTCTTGTAATTTGATAATTCCTAAATAAGAAAAATATGTTAACACATCAAATACACAAATAAATATATTTAATATATGCAAATAAATATATTTACAATATAAAACGAGATTTGTGGCTGAAAGTTTATTTCGAATTCGTTGCCAGGTTGAACACAGTCCCATTCAGCATTCCCTGGTGGAAATTCCCTCCCCACCCCCCCTTTTCACTCTGGTGCGTGTTCAAGTGACAAACTTCAAATGGTTTTTCCATGCAGAAGAGAGGCATCCTGTGTGGGCGTTTGGATAACTTTATATACATATATGCGGTTTCGTGTTGTCGTCATGTGTGTGCGGTCAATGGAATTGCAAATTTTTGCCTGTAGGTTTCGGGGGGAGGGGGCGAAAAAAATGGGAAAATGTAAGGAAAAGGCAGTTGGTTAGTTCTTCAAATGGTAAAACCAGCATTTCCCTCTCCTCAGCTCAGCTTTTGTTGCCAACTATCCTGGATATCCTGACCATTTGGTAACCACTTTGCCATCGGTTGGCCACCTTTGACATTTTGAGGTCTGCAATTAAAAACAGCATTCATCCGACCATCCCCCGACTTGTCCGGCCTCATTTTCCAGCTGTTTATGGTCGCCCACGGCTCAACTGGCAACTAAAATGATTTTCCGAAAGCCCACAGAATCCCAATCCTCAGCCAGGGCATTTTTCCCCAATTGACTTTTCCAGGGGGTGCGGGGTGGCACTGGGACTGGGACGGGGACGGGGGCAGGGGATAAAAGCCAGTGTAAAGTTGATTCCTGCTTCTCACACTGAACACAAAATGAACTTTCATGTTTTCATAACAGGCTAATTGTGCAGGTCGGGTTGCTGCACATAGTTTTCCATTTACCATTTACCATTTTCTATTTTCCTTATTGATCAACTTTTTGCAGGGTATTATCACTTAAGGCAGAGGTTTGTAACGCTATGCAGGAAATATAATAAATCCATAAATCTATAAAGCATATTCTAGATCTAGCCATGTGGCCAATTTGATTACTATATAATTTGGAACGGACCAGATCGGACAACTACATCATATAGAAAACAATTATATTTTCGCTTTATTTCAACATACTTTACATATTTATTATTTATTTATTTTGCATTTATTAAATTAAATTTTTACTACTTTTTTACTATTTTATTACTATTTATTTCACCCAATTAGCCACCTCAATTTGCCAGCGTTCTTCCTGTCCAAGTGAATGCAGAGAGAGAGTTCTGGAAGTGTCCAGCTGAGATTGACAATATCGCCGAATCCTCTCTCTCTCCCCCACAAGCCAAAACATCGACGCCTTCCAGTACCACTAAGCATCCTCTCCCGGCGACAATTGGAAGTCAGTTACTCCCGCGCCATCGGGCGAAGCGGGATGGAAAAAACCCAGCAGCAGAAAAAACACGAAAACGGCAACGGCGCCACGCAAGGAGATCGGGAAAAATGTGAAAACGCGGAAAACCTACGTCGGGAAAACAGTGGCAAGTGCCAGAAGTGCGGAAAAACAGCGGACACCGGCCGGGAAAAGTGTTGGTGTGAGTGAAGTGAGGGGGGAAGACATGAAGCACCCCTGGAGCACACCTAAAACGCACACCGGGCCGCTGTCGTGTTTTCTTGTAGTTAAACCGTAAAACAATTCGTTATTTGCAGCCAAGATCAGTGCGCGTCACTCTGGCTAGTCAAATTTGTTGCAACAATTGCGAAAAAAGTGTGTAAAAGTGTACATAACCTGCAAAGTTAAAAGGCTTGCTTTTTTCTTCTTTTTTCTCGTGTGTGTGTGTATGCGTGCTTCGTTCGGTTATTCGCCGTTAGATCTGCAGCTGCAACCAAAGCAGTAAAAGGGGTGAGTGAAGCTATTTTCTCTTTTCTTGTATCCCCATCATTCTCTGGCTTGGTGCGCGCGAATTTTTTTCCTTTCGCCGTTGCTCGTGCTCTTCTATTTCCTCAATTCGCCAGCGCTGTACCAGTCCAAGTCAGTGGAGAGAGAGTTCTGGAAGTGTCCAGCTGAGAATGACAACATCACCAAATCCCCTCTCTCTCCCCCACAGACATTGCTGCCTTCCAGTACCACTAAGCATCCTCTCACGGCGACAATTGGAAGTCAGTTACTCCCGCGCCATCGGGCGAAGCGGGATGGAAAAAACCCAGCAGCAGAAAAAACACAAAAACGGCAACGGCGCCACGCAAGGAGATCGGGAAAAATGTGAAAACGCGGAAAACCTACGTCGGGAAAACAGTGGCAAGTGCCAGAAGTGCGGAAAAACAGCGGACACCGGCCGGGAAAAGTGTTGGTGTGAGTGAAGTGAGGGGGAAGACATGAAGCACCCCTGGAGCACACCTAAAACGCACACCGGGCCGCTGTCGTGTTTTCTTGTAGTTAAACCGTAAAACAATTCGTTATTTGCAGCCAAGATCAGTGCGCGTCACTCTGGCTAGTCAAATTTGTTGCAACAATTGCGAAAAAAGTGTGTAAAAGTGTACATAACCTGCGAAATTGAAAGGCTTGCTTTTTTCTTCTTTTTTGCTTGTGTGTGTGTATGCGTGCGTCGTTCGGTTAATCGGCGTTAGATCTGCAGCTGCATCCAAAGCGGTAAAAGGGGTGAGTGAAACAAAGCTATTTTCTCTTTTCTTGTATCCCCATCATTCTCTGGCTTGGTGCGCGCGAATTTTTTTCCTTTCGCCGTTGCTCGTGCTCTTCTATTTCCTCAATTCGCCAGCGCTGTACCAGTCCAAGTCAGTGGAGAGAGAGTTCTGGAAGTGTCCAGCTGAGAATGACAACATCACCAAATCCCCTCTCTCTCCCCCACAGACATCACCGCCTTGCAGTACCACTTGGCATCCTCTCCCGGCGACAATTGGAAGTCAGTTACTCCCGCGCCATCGGGCGAAGCGGGATGGAAAAAAACCCAGCAGCAGAAAAAACACGAAAACGGCAACGGCGCCACGCCAGGAGATCGGGAAAAATGTGAAAACGCGGAAAACCTACGTCGGGAAAACATTGGCAAGTGCCAGAAGTGCGGAAAAACAGCGGCCACCGGCCGGGAAATTTGTTCGTGTGTTTGAAGTGAGGGGGGAAGACCTGGAGCACCCCTAAAATGCACTCCGGGCCGCTGTCGTGTTTTTATGGCGTTAAACCGTAAATAATTCGTAATTCGTAGCCAAGATCAATAGTCAATTTTGTTGTTTTTTTTACTGTGCGAGTGCAATAATAGCGAAAAATGTATGTAAAAGTGTACATAACCTGCAAAATTGAAAGGCTTGCTTTTTTTCTTTTTTTTTTTTTTCTTGTGTGTGTGTATACGTGCTTCGTTCGGTTAATCGCCGTTAGATCTGCAGCTGCATCCAAAGCGGTAAAAGGGGTGAGTGAAACAAAGCTATTTTCTCTTTTCTTGTATCCCCATCATTTGGTGGCTTGGCGCGCGCGAATTTTTTTCCTTTGGCCGTTGCTCGTACTCTTCTAGAATGTGGAACGTAAGAGCGAGAGCGCCGCTCAGAGAGAATACGATCCACTCTTATGGTTCTCAATTTTGACAATAGGAAAGCCGCCGCCTTTGTTTACCTTTTTATTTGAAGGCAATTGTGAACCAAAAAAATGAAAATCTAATTGCAAGCCAAGACTTTATGAAATGCAGCTTATATAAATATTTTTTTTAGCTATTATTTTATTATATATTACCATTTTCCCAATATTATTATATATTTACATATATTCATTTATTATAATATTTATATATTTATATATATATATATATTTCTTTATTATATTATATTTTTGTATATATTTCTTTATTATATTATATTTTATCTGACATATAATTATTTCATAATATTTTTGATCAACATCACATTTTTATATTATCTCCTGTTGGGCATTATTTTCTTTTTACCTAAATTGATTGACTCTCAATGAGCCAACGCAAGTGTATACAAACTTCGGCGTGCCGTAGTTAACGTCTCTCCTTTTTATTTGGTTTTCGATCTTCCTACGCCTTAATTTGACCCGAGTTTTCAGTGTTATTACATCAACTTAAGGCAAACAAACCGCAAAACTATAACTGTCCAGCGCCCAGCTGAGTTGCTCTCCTTCTAACCATGGCAAGTTTTTGCCTGGCATTCGAGAGCTCCTCCAGAGGCAGCAGACCGTGCCCCAAGTTGGTGTACAACTAAATCCACATCTCAAAGCAAAAGGTAAGTAAATAAACGGAGTGCAAACACACAAAAAAAAGCTCAAAAAATCTATAAATATAATGAAATATATATATTCGTTGTTGAAATTGTATCAGCTGCATATATGTATGCATGTGGTTCATGTCCTTGTTCGCTTTGTGCGGATTAAATCAAGCAGAAACTCTCGTATAACTAAAATAGTTTTCCAATAAAAATCAAATGGAACTGAACCTTTTTTTCAAACTAGGAAATACTATCAAATTTAATGCCTTAATGGTAAAACAAATAAAATAAAATCAAATTGAAATCCAATTTCAATCAGATTTATTTTCAAATATATTTTTCCCATTATTAAATTATGCATTTTCCCTCGAAATAAGATTTATTTGCATTAAAGTGAATATTTCTTTCTGTGTTGGACTCTCTCGGAAGTCTCACCCTCTTTGCCTTTGGCCTGTAATTTACATTCAAGTTCTGGGGTCAAAGAGGAAAGTTGAGCACCAATTAAAAACACTGACCGGACTGACCATATCTATCTCCTTGGAAAACAAGAGTTTGTGCTTGGCACTGCATTTCACTGCTTCATTTTTATATCTTTTGCCCCTTTAATGAGTGTAATTTACGGCAAATATACTGTTAATTCTCATCGTCGCGGTAAAGGAGAAAAATTCTTTATTTTCTGCTCCTGTGCAGAGCTGGACTCTGTTATGGTGAAGCGACCGCAAAAGCGTGATGTGGTGGCATCATAACGAATTGCATGCCATGTGCTTTGAGTTCATACCACTTTTCGTAGACATTAGCCAGCTGCGAGGGGTGTTTAATCAGTTGTCATGAAAGTATATTAATCAAGTTTGTTATGAT